GAATAGAAGTAGTTGCTGAATTTGAAACCACAAGCTTACTACCACAGTATTTCTGCCATGACGATATAGTAATAATAATAAGAGTAGTATGCAGTCTGTTTCAGTGAGTTGATTCAATATCGATACGATTCATTAGCACTGATCATGAAAGTCTCTATTGGGAAAACATGCCTTGGTTATTTAAGATGGCATTCATATTTCTTGTAATTCGTAATTGATTAAAAAAAAATAAAAATTTAAATCTACTTGGCAACAATGGCAGGTCGAAAATATGGAACAGAATAAAACTTTTTCCAAGTGCATTCTGCCTATTAAAATATCATCTTAAACTATATGCGATTAGCCATGACAAACATTTTAAACAGTATCATGCTACAGTTTAATTCAGCATTGTATTAAATGGTGGGATGGTGTCTCTAATGGTCTACGGCATATTTTAGCAAATGTAGGATGAAATTTGCTCATTTCAAAATAAATTTGCACACCATGCACAGCATCTCGAACATTTGTGTGTTTGTGTTAGTCTGCTCCTGTACTGTTGTTAAACTGCAGTAAACGATTATTCCTGTTCTGCCCACTGTTCCATATCACAGAGGGGTCACCGTGCCTCATTGCTATCAAGCGCATAAACAGCACACATGTGCACAAAAACACTTCTCAGACACAGAGGGAAAAAAAAACAAAAAAAAACAGAAACCTCTTCACCTCATGTAAGGTTTTGCTTGTTGGGCACATGCTTCAATTCTTTCGCTGTGGAGAAAGAGACAGCATCTCCACACTAGCAGGATTGCTGCCTGGACCTCCTATTGAGGACAATGCATCATTCTGTCTCAATGTTGGCACGACACACAGTCATACTGAGGGGAAAACAGAGACAATACATGCCCACAATAACTCTCCCAAGCTCTACAGAGAGAAAATAACTGCACTAATTTCGGTTGTCCACACGTGTAATTGGTGTCTTGAACCCCCAAGAATACAGATAAAGCACTGGACTGTCAGATAAGTGTAGAGAACAAAATCATAATGCCTATCTCGTTATGTCTCAAAGGGGAAAGGGAGGAAGAGAGGAAGGGGGAGGTTGTGCACTGGAAAAGAGAAGGAGAAGAACAAAAAGCATGCTGATATAGTATAGATTTAGCCTTTAGTGCTGTTAGACCGCTCCTCAATAATCTATATTTCTATGGTAACTGAGATGCTGATGTTTTGATATGTAAACGGTTGCTGTGGAATGTGCACAGACGAGACCTAAAGTAAGTTACCTTTTAATTTGTGTTCCTCAAAGTATGTTTACAGCACTCCATTGCCAGTATTATATTATATTATATCATATTAGATTCATAAAAAGTCATATTACTTGTAATGTAATGACATATTTTATTCCAGTCTTCATTCTGATTCATAAAGTTTGTCTTTGAATCAGTGACTATGGCGTATCTTCAACCCGATCTCACGACCAAGTCGTACGAATTCGACGAATGATTAAAAAGTGGCTAATTCGTAACAATTCATACGACCTCACTCGTACGAATTAATACGATTTTGCTAAATCGTACATATTTTACGAATTGGCCAATTCGTATGAATTCGTACGAATGACCTACCCCTAACCATCACGTGGGTTTAGACAAATCGTACGAATTAGTACGAGTGAGGTCGTACGAATTAGCCACTTTTTAATCATGCGTCGAATTCGTACGAATTGGTCGTGAGATTTGTTGGTATCTTCTGTGCAACTTAGTGAGATGTTAACAGTCAAAAACAGGCGATTGATTATTATAGACCTGACACTAATGTTCCAGCTGTTTTGATGTCATCACCTGATATACCTGTTGTTTTCTGACACACTTTCCCATATCCCATGTGTTGACAAAGAACATCTCAAATCACAAGAAAACCATTTATAGCTTCAACTGTTTTATAAGAGAAGTGTTTGCAACTGCGAGTGTGAATGTGTCAGATTTTATGAGTACCCTTGGGAATAGTGCAATGCTCTATTCCTGGAGGTAACTTAGTCATCTCTGTTTTCTGGAAAAGTTGGCAGGCATGCAGGTAAAATGAAATCATGATGCTGTTTTATATCGCTGTGGTGTACATACAATTATTAGGTTACTTGATGCAATATTGCACCAAAACCAATGGGTCAATGTATCTAATGGATCTATCTATCTAATCTTGCTACCTAATCTATCTATCTATCTATCTATCTATCTATCTATCTATCTATCTATCTATCTATCTATCTATCTATCTATCTATCTATCTACAGTATCTATCGATCGATCGATCGATCTATCTATCTATCTATCTATCTATCTATCTATCTATCTATCTATCTATCTATCTATCTATCTATCTATCTATCTATCTATCTATCTATCTATCTATCTATCATCTATCCATCCATCCATCCATCCATCCATCCATCCATCCATCCATCCATCCATCCATCCATCCATCTATCTATCTATCTTTTAAAACCACTAAAGTAAAACTTATTTCAATCTGAAAACGTAAGCTTTTGAAACTACTCCAAACTTCCTGGCTTTGCTTTTTTTAAAGTTTGATTACTAATATATATATATATATATATATATATATAATTGTTAGTTTTTCTCCGTTGCTTTGGTGCATTTGTCACATCACTATTTACATTTGCACAACAGTTAATGCAGTTCTCAAAACAATTAGTACAAACTGCAAAACTTAGTTGATAACCTGCAAAAGTGTGTCACTTGCTCAAAATGGATAACTCATTCCTCAAAAGCAAGTATTCTTGAAAGTGTCAGTGTCGTCAAGATGAAAAGTCCTAACACCAGTGTTTATGAACAATATATTCAAATGGCTTTGTCATGTTTTCATTATGACAGTTTACTCTGTAAGTGTTTGCCAATGCAAAAAAGTCAGATCTTGGTGACACTACCTGAAAATGCTCAAGACAGTCCTATAAACTATTTGCACAGCCATTTGAAAACTACAGTAAAGTTTCACATTACTGTATTTAGTGAGGTACAGTAACTGAGTACAAGACACTGAATATGTATGTTTCCCATTTTTACTGAGTCTTTGCAATTCTAATTTGTTCAGAACATTGTGCAAAAGAAAAAAAAAATCACCCTTATTTACAACAAACATAAACTCCCTTTGGGTAGATCGGTGCACAACTGTAAACAATATCACAGTACATATTGGAACTGAACGTACAACATACATATACTGTAAATCATGCATGCACATCTCCTCTCATCAGTGAAAGCTGAGGTTCACCTGTGATAAATTGTTCAATTTAGGATAAAAAAGGTTTTTTTTTTTAAGATAAAAAAAAAATTGCTTGACGGATTTTGACAACTAGTTTAACATTTTTGTATGTGATGACTCAAGCAATGAAATGAGGACTATTAGTTTTATATGGAATGACTATTCAACATTCACAAGTATAGTTAATTTGGACTGATATGACATAAGCAAATGATAATGTTATAAAACAGCAGTGAGTTGTATGAAAGCAATTGATGCATGTCCAAAAGCATTTGCAATTTGTTGGAAGGAATGAGAAACTGCTACTATGATGTGCACAAATGTCTAAATGTTGTGGAGGTTGAACTAACTGTTGTGCAAATGTAAATAGTGATGTGAGAAATGCACCAAAGCGACTGAGAAAAACTGTAATATTTCATTTTGTATACTTAGTATATACTGTTCAAAACTTCAGGGTCAGGAATTCATAACAAATATTCAAAAGGACCAATTCATTTGATTGATTGAAAGTAACAATACAAACATTTATAATGTTCCAAATTATAAGCATTTCAAATAAATTCCATCTCTTTTGAATATTAAATTAATCAAAGAATCCTGAATAGAAGTTAACATGGTTCCCACAAGAATATTAATCAGCACAACCATTTTCAACATTGATATTAATAATACATGTTTCTTGAGCAGCAAATCAGCATATTAGAAGGATTTCTGAAGGATCATGTGACTGAAGACTGGAGTAATGATGCTGAAAGTTCAGCTTTTCATCTCAGGAATGAATTACATTTTGAAACTTTAAAATAGAAAACAGTTATTTAAAAAGTCCCTATATAGAGTAATGATTCTTGTTCACAGCTTCAAAACCTGGTATAACTTGGACAACCATAGTGTTTCAATTCGGCACATAAACACTCCTGTCACTTCTAAAGCAGTGTGTACGTGATAGATGATGTCTAGAAAGTATTGTGGGGATCCTGGCTGTGTTATTTTCATGCATGCTGTGTGCATTTAGAGGGAAGCATATGGACACAGTTAGTGCTCCCCATCCTCATACAGTATATCTCCACTAACACTAAAAGAGATCAACGCAGTGCAGTTTCAGTAATATTATACCAGCTGTTATTATTGACGAGGCTGATCTCGTTCCACTAGGCGGAGACAATAGAGGTAGTGTAAAGAGATGTGTGCCGCAATAATAAGTCCTGTCACGCTGCCCGTATTTAAGTACTGAGCTCAATTCAAATCAAAGAAAGTCACCTTGCGCACTCTCCAGTCGAGCTGAATGTTCAAGTTTACCTTTGGGGGAGACCATAATGTCAGACACAATTACCCTAAAGTGCTCTTAACAGTGATGTTTGAGAGATGTTTTGATAATGCGGTTGCGGTTGAATGAATGATGGGCTCTCTGTCATTTTCAGCGAATGGTTGAGTCACGACACAGCGTTGAATGACTATGGCCTGGAGGGAGGACATTTTACATGTACTGTATATTAATGTTTCTGTATTTAAAAGTCAAGCTTTTTGTGCTTTTCGGCCCAATAGTGTGACTTTATCATTACAGCTTGATTGGAAATTTCACAAGAGATTATTACCTTGGTTTTCTTCACACAAAATTTGCTTCATATTTCAAGTCCTCAAGTCTTGATAAACTTTTTTATAAAACTTCATTCACTGAGAGACAATTCTAATTAGTGTACTGCATGACAAACTGAGCCAAGATTGTCCAGAACATAAGACCTTACCCTTTTGAGCATGATGATTCCCTCCTGATTGTGCTCGTTGGTGGTGATGTCAAACATGGCTCCTCCATCTCCAGGAACAATGTTGTATTCCACCTCTGCGTTTTTCCCTATGTCCAGATCATGAGCTTTGATTCGGCCAACCGCTGACCCGACTGCTGATGACTCCGGTACACGCAGATGGAAGATGCCTGTAGAATCAAAATCAGTTTTTTTAAGCACATGTTGGGGAAGCTGCTTTGAAAACTAGTTTCGAGCAAATGTTTCGTTTTTTTTATGTTTGGAATAACATGAACCAATGAATAAAAAAATCGTGACATGAAATGCAATGCCTAGAAATCCCCCAAAAATCTATTCGTGTGAATGCGATAACTTCTTGTTTCGACAAACACAACATATATATTTACCTCAGAAATTAAAGTATGTGGATGTGGATTGTATTTCATGTCGTGTTTTTTTTTTTTTTTTTTTTTTTTTCATGTCTTGAAATTTCGTTATAGCCTTTGCATTTTCGAATGCTCTTTGAATACATTACAGTATATATATATATATATATATATATATATATATATATATATGAAGAGTTCAGATGCAAAAGCCTCTAAGTGCCATTTGAAATTTTCTTCTAGAAGAATCATTTTTATCAAGCTTGTGTATTTAAGTTCAGTGATTTCACTTAAATGGCAATGAAGATAACCTATTAATTGTTATTTAAGTGAAATTACTGAACTTAAATATACAAGTTTGATAAAAATCATCATTAAAGAAGAAAATTTCAAATGGCATTTAGAGGCTTTTGCATCTGAACTCTTCATATATATATATATATATATATATATATATATATTAACAAAACCCAATCATATGCCCCCAAAACACTAGGCATATATGACACATGTTGCATGTGATCATTCTGTGATAAGCTACTTTTGCATCTTTACTTTTAAAACGTGATGTTGGTCGCTATTCACTTCCAGTTTATGGAAAACTGCCACAAATCTCACAAGTTTTGCCAACTTTTTGTGGCAGTTTTTTCCACATGTGTTATTCTCCCTAGAGAGAATATTATTGTTGGAAAGAGCGTTTGATAACTGCCTCAATGAACTTGGGTGTAAATGTGACATAACAAGTAGGGATGTGGTGTTGGTTTCACAATACACTACTTTTTGTTGGAGAAATGCTTGTTTTTGGCTAAGCTACACTGTGAAAACTGCTGAGCTAATGTCATGCTACTAAAACTGTAGTTAAGTTAGTAGAACGGCTAGTATGAGTTAGTTACCCCTGCTAGTGAAGACACATGCACGGTAGGCACAAACAGATCATGCTGATTAGTAAAAATGAATGAGTTGAGTGGCCAATCCCGCAAAAAAAAAAAAAAAAACACCTCAGCTAATTAAGAAGTCATTTGATGCTTTACTGCAATGAACCAAAAGACAAACAACGAGAGAGAGAGAGAGAGAGAGAGAGAGAGAGAGAGAGAGAGAGAGAGAGAGAGAGAGAGAGAGGGCCCAGAATGCAGCAGTCATCATAGTACCATCCTCTGAGACATGCAGATGGAAATCTACTTCTCTCCCAGGGTATTACCAATATTTACACAGCGAGAAAACCAGTGCTCATCACTGAAACTCAACATGATTTCCATTTCACAAATTGTGAGCGCAAATGGAGCCTGTTCACATTCACTTGTTTAAAGGCCTGGGCTTATTTCAGTGGAAAAATAAACAAAGGATGTTCTACAAGTATAAAAATGCATAAAATATGAGGATGTTAGGTAGAAGCTATGAAGACTGCTTTCTCATGCTTTTACTTACGAAACTTTGATTTCTCTAAAAATCGCATTAATTCATCCATATTCAAATCTAGTATGATGATAAACTCAAGAACCAATGATATTTGTGTGCAGTTTTTTTTTCTCTCTCTCTCTCTCTTTCCACGCTTCTCTGGGGATGCTGTTAAATATGCTGCATTTACTGGTTTATCCAAACAATATTTATAGATTCAAGATTGTTTATTTATTTTTCAAGAAATGCTGGCATAATATCTCTCTATGAATGAATTTAGTTTAGACTTTCCTATGAGCATTTAAAAAGAAAATGCTGCACATTTGCATTACCAGTGAAAGGTTTAGACACACTTTCCTGAAATAATGGTTCTCATTATCTTAAAAACCTTTTGATCTAAAGGTTTATGCATAAATGCTTTAAATTTGTTTGGTACACAGAATAAATTGTGGCTACTAAAATTTTATATTTTAAAAAGAGCAGATGGCAAACCTCTGAACTCTTTTGCATGACGTTAAAAAATAGTTTCCCAGGATGTTTAAGCAAGCTTGAACAATACAGATTTTTAGTCACTAAATAATTTCCATACTTCCATTTGTAATGGGAAAACTCTGAATAACAAGCAAACAATAATAATAAAATAATGGAAGTATGCGAATTATATAGTTACCATTAAACAAAGGATTGTTGAACCTATAGAATTTCTGGTTACACTTTATTTTGATGGTAATTAACGTTGCACCTACTTGTCAACTAACTTTCATTAGAGTATTAGTAGTGGTAGGGTTTGCAGAATAACCTCTGAACAAGAATACGGGGAATAATCCACTTTAAAGTCCCCTTGTGTTGAAAATCAAGTTTTCAATGTTATGTCTATGTGGAATTCATTAGTCAAAACCGTTGCTGAGTATTTTTTCCTCACTGTACGTTCACACCAGACACGAATAGCGCATCAAATTCGCGCCTACCGTGTCTAATCATACGCTTGAACACTTTGAATCAATTTGCGAGTCAAGAGCGAAATCGACGCGTGTAAAAACAAAAACTTGAAGTGAAATTTACGCGCGGCACATCCAAAGTTCAGATATTTCAACTTAGGCGGCAGGCGCGAATTCGCGTGAAACGCATGAATGCACAACTAGGACGAACTAAATCATTTGATGCTCAATTCGCGCACTTTGTGCCTTTCGCATGAACTTGACGTGCAAATTAGGCGTATTCGCGTCTACCGCGCCGCGCTCTATGCCTCATTCGCGCCACATTAATTTTTTACGTGCGTAACAACACGTCTTTGCATTGGGTTAACATTGAAATCACTCACGCCTGACGTGCTATTTGTGTCCGTTGTGAACGCACCATAAACCTGCAGTGAACCAAATACAGTCTCAAAAACGCTGGTGTTTCACAAACTACCTTATAACCAATCACGTTATTGTGTAATCATCAACAAGTGGATCTCTATGCCGGTGTGAGTGAGTGGAGGTAAAGCTCCAACTTGCCTCAAAACCTGCTCAGAAGTGTTATAATATGCCTAGTGAGTCCTTGATCAGCTGGTTCAGGTGTGTTTAATGAGCCCGTTCTCATCCCAAAGCGCCATATAGGACGCTTTTGCAAAAGCGTAAATATCCAACGCACATGGCACCCTTTAACGTAAAATGAGACGCAGATATATTTGGGCAGAAGGCGCCCCCTAGTGGTCTAACCCTTACCCTACACCATACAACTTAACCATAACCGAAGCGTCTCATTAGACGTTAAAGGGTGCCATGTGCATTGGATATTTACGCTTTTGCAAAAGCGTTGTATATGGCGCTTTGGTATGAGAATGCGTTGGTTTAATTAGGATCGGAGCTAAACTTTGCAGGACAGTGACCTAACAGGACTGATTTGAGTTGGTAGTTTATCACTTATCCATTGTCTTACTTTTGGAGAACCTAGGTGGGTTGTCGTTGACGTCACTTAGGGTGATGTTGATGGTGGTGGTCCCTGCCAGACCCCCTAACTGCCCACCCATGTCTTTGGCCTGGATGAGAACCTGATACAGCTCCTTCACCTCCCGGTCCATGTTGGGTAGAGCTGTCCTGATCACACCTGCGCACAGATCGAAAGACTGTGTTAATGGAAAGAAGAGACCAAAGAAAAGGACGATAAAGGGATAGTGAGGTAGACAGAGAGTGTAGATGAAGAGGCTGTGAATACAGGGAGGTATCAGCGAGTGGAGAGAATCGGATTACAGAAAAGAGGGTAAGGTGAGGAGAAGAATAGGGTTTAGACCTGAGAATGCTGAGAATGAAGCCTGCTGAGAAAGGGATGTGAGTGGTAATCTAAAATAACAGACACAATTGAGATTGAGAGCGGTAAAAGAAAAGCAAATGGATGGAAGTCTGTAGCATTGTGAAAAAGGAAACCCGAGCAAATTGAACTTAAAGGTGCAGTGTGCCATTTCTAAGCTATTATTGGTGTTCTGAAAATCAATTAACCTTTCAGCATGACTTTTGGGTTGTTTTAGGGTTCAATTTAGTGTTTGGGGATTATAAATTAGTCATGCTTAGGTACACATCCTGGTAGATATGTCTTGGTTGACGTTTCCTACATTTTTGACACTTTTATCATGGCTGTAAAATGTACCAACATGTTTTAATCCATGGAACATGGCGTCTACTCAGTGGAACGACATCCAAACAATGGGTTGAGGTTTTGCTAATTAGCACGACCCTGTTAGCCTCTGATGCAGGAAACATTATAACAAATAAATCAAAGGCTGATTTTGCTGTACTTGACCATTCTTAACCTTTTTGCTACACTTTTAGAACTAAAGGGATATTCAGGGTTCAACGTGAAGTGATATAATGTAAATAAACACAAATATAATCATTTTGAAGTGAAAAAGTTTATAGCAAGGTACTTAATTAAAGAAAATGTGACCAATTTGGGGAGGATGTTAAAGCATAAATCTGAAGCTTAATATTTTACAGAATAAAACTTAAACAGATTATTTTTGGTATGTGGCTTTAAGACTTCTGTATGCCTTTTGTTTTGATTGGCTCTTTGCATGGAAAGTTCATATCAGTTCAGATTGTCATTCATATTGCAAGTTGCTCAACATTGAATAGGTGTTTATGTAAACTTGTGCATCCATATTTTAATGTATATTTTACCCCCTTCAGAACATATTGCTTCTAGCAATCAGCTGTTAAAAAAGGGAAAAGCACATATGGTTTCTAAATACCATAGAAAGTGTTCTCCTTGGGCATCAAACTGTTAAAACCTTCCCGAAAAACCAGTGAAATACACATTTACCTTCAAGTGTTTTTCTCTGGCTATAAGATTGAGGTCAGCCCTAAAGCTTCTGATGCTTAACAGTCTTAACAAGCTGACAAAGCCAATGTAGCAACACCTTACCTCGCTTTTCTTCCATAAAGCACAACTAATGCATTTCCCAACGTCACAAGAAGCTTTCCCAGATCAAGAGAGCACTTCATAGGATGAATTAGACATGGCGTTAAAAAGGGCACAGACCTTCATACAAAACCAGTTTCAAATGTAAAAGGTATGCTCATGGGATTCTCTAGACCTGTTACATGAGGCAGTAATTAAAGGAGTAGTTCACCTAAAAATCATCATGCATTGAAAACAGAACCTCTGCATGAGATCTTCAAAAAATAAATAAATAAATAAATAAATAACAATAATAATAACACAGGATTGGAACTACATGGGGGTGATTGAATGGTAGCAAACTGCAATTTTTAGTTGACCTATTCCTTTAAGGTGTGTGTTTCCTGAGTCTGTTTTCTTTCAAGACTCTGTTGATTCCATTATGCATTTTACCCCCTGACTTTTTTACCCCGGCCTCATCTCACATCTTTTGTTTGCTGTCAATTTTATTATGGCCTGCATGCGACAAAACCAGATTTTTCTTCTTTTACTAGTCATTTTGATTTGTTCACCCTTTGAGCCCAGTGGGTTTGCTGATAACAGGATATTATATTTTTATTCATGTATTCCTGTCTGCTATGCTTCATACTTGCTCAACAGGGCCGTAAACATACTGACATACTGTACATACAAGTGTGAAATTCCCGTACACGCTTAATCAAGTTTTCCTGGCAGGTTTGGGCTTTGTGCTTTTACATATTGGATGTTACAGGTCACTGAATGCAGAGGATGCCCATTAGTAGATTCACATTCATATAGTAAACACTCCTGAATATTGCATGACAAAACATTTACTGGCATAAAATAAAAGGCAGTTTATTTGCTGCATCATTTGATGATGCTACAGTTCTTCCAGCCATATAAACAACAGAAAAATCCATTTGCTCTTGCCAAGCTGAATTTATTTTTTACCTGGAGGGTATTGGGGTCTGAAAAGTAGCACCAGATTAACCATATATCTTTTCAGGCCTGTTTAGCGGACAGTATGTCCCTTTCTGCCCCGCTATTTAAATTAATTGCCGTTTATTTTGAGTTACAAATCCATTTTCTTGGCTGGCCACATTATCAAATCAAACCGCCGAGCTTATTTGTCTAATAGGGTCAATGAATGTAATTATGTTGAAACCTGTGAACTGTGAAATTAATGAGCCTAGCCTGTTGTTATTACTCAAACAAAGCAGTGGAACTGTTTATATATATATATATATATATATATATATATATATATATATATATAATCATTTAATTTTTAATGTAGCAAACATTTTTCTGTATGTTTTCTCTTAAATATTCAGGAGTGCTTTACCAGTTTTGGGGTCGACGGAGAAGTACGGCTGGCCGTGCAGTATGCTGTACACCACCCGGGCACTGTTGCCGTATGTAGGGTCGTCTGCATCTGTTGCCGTCACCTTCATCACGTACGTACCTGCAAGCAGACAGAGGATATTCATTTGTCTTAAACTGCATGAATAGATATGAAAGATGTGCTTTATTTGAGGTTACAACTGTATGTATCAGCCCTTGGTACTGTAGATTGGATAGGGTGTGACTCGAAAACAGGCCTATATAGGAACGTTATTATGTGCGTTTGTTCTGATGGGCTGACATAAAACCAAGTAGATTCCTGTGTACTGATTTTCCACTTTATTTCGATATGTCTGCAATAGCAGTTTTTACATTACAAAGGCCAGCACTTTTAAATTGCCCAATAAATGACAAACCATCCGTATTGTAGAATGAACTGATGGTCACGGGCTATTGAATCACTGTGTTTTACTGAATCACCGTGTTTTACTTAAATGCAGCAGAATTCTGCACAATGACCATCTTGCAATTTAGCAGCAACTGTGTGTTCTTCTAGAATAGTTTCCTTTATTATATACACTCACCTAAATGATTATTTGGAACACCTGTTCAATTTCTCATTAATGCAATTATCTAATCAACCAATCACAAGGCAGTTGCTTCAATGCATTTAGGGGTGTGGTCCTGGTCAAGACAATCTCCTGAACTCCAAACTGAATGTCAGGCCTTGGAAGAGCGAGAAAATAAATAAATAAAAGAAACCAAGAAGTTATTGTACAGATTTTAAATCAAGGCCATTTCCCCATGGAAGTCCTTTTCAACCAGCTGATGCAATTACCTTTGATTTTTTTTTTTTTTTTTTTTTTTTTTTTTTAGTTGTCTCAGCAGCACACATCGACCTGCTTTCAGATTGTTCTGGCCTCCACATGAAGAGGTGAAAAGCATTAAAAACCTACACAGTTCCCCCTTTTAAGTTACCTCCAAATTAGAGTCACATTCTGTGAGAGAAAAATCCTGCAACCTGATGGATCTAAAGTCAAGAAATACGGACAAATTGATAAGGCAGAATTGCAGGAATTCTCCTCTCTTGTTTGTGCGTAACAGCAAGACTCAGTTATGCTTTTGTGATGGCAGCAGCCACAATATAAATCACACAGACGTCTACAAAATAGGCCTAAAGCTTCAATGTTGGACTATGGTGCACTTATAAACTGGTCTATTCACATTTCGCTATCTGAGATCATGAGTCGAGCTTTGATTCAGCTGGGAAGGGGAGGGTTTCATTTCATTCTTTTGCCATTCAGATCAAGGAAAAGGCAATCTCAAAGTGTATTACCCTGATCTGTCATCCTCAGGGGAAGCAACATGAAAAGGGCTTTGGTGTTGGACGGGGCATGCAGTTTATTAAGCTCGACACCAAATTGTATGTCAGACTTTTACTCTTGGTGTTTTACGTCTTGCCATTCAAAGCTTTCTTTATTGCTTTTGTTTATCTGAATATAAAATGTGGCTTTTCCATGATTCAAATCTCTTTAAACTCACAAGCTCAAAACAAATTCGAAACAAAACTGTTTGCTTTGTGCTTAACAGATGAAAGGCGATTTACATCAGGGGTATTATGTCCGTATTATGTTGTAAGAATTGATTTATCTCCTGTAATTTTCCGTTTTACTGAACCAGCTTTCATAAGATGCAATGAAACTTTCTAAGAACTCTGTATTTCCAGTTGTTTTATCCTTACGATGATCAAGAATGACATGATATCACATGATTTCTTCATGTGTAAACCATACAAAAATAGAGTATCAAGACAAAAGCATTATAATACTTTAAGATAATCTCATTATGTTTTTATAGGACTTGTTACAGATTTATGAACAGTTCCACCAAATCTAGCTTTTCCTAAAATAGTCAGTGAATGCTTTCGGTTTTAAGACTGATCTCTCTCAGGGCCCATGACTACAAATGATTATGAGTCCCAGAGAAGTACTGCTTCTGTTTACTGCGCTCTATTATTGCAGGCAATTCCTGAAGTTTGTAAAGCAACTTTGTCAAAATTGCCATTCATTAAACGTGCCATACAAATAACTCTGAATGGAATTCATCTGGAATGAGGTGAAATATATATATATATATATATATATATATATATATATATATAAGACTGTTGGAAACACATGGAATGTTGTAACTTTGAATTTATCGACTTCATGTTTTCCCGTCAAAATATCTGTGAAATTGTTGGCTGTTGTCAGGCTCTGTTTTGCCCATTTCCTTTAGTTTTTTTTTGTCCCAAATTGGTAACACTTTATTTCCACAGTCCACTTTAGGCATTCTACTAACTATAAGTAACTTTACACACTCTTGTCAACTCTCTGTAAGGTTAAGGTTTATAATAAGTTGACATGTCAGTAGAATGGAGGAGCATCAAAATAAAGTGTTGGCAGATATTAAGCAGAGAGTCTAATCCTATTCTAATGACTGCAAGTTGACATAGTCAAAGTAACCTAAAATTAGTAAAATCTTTAAAGTGAACTTTTGAAATAAAGCATTACTAAACAGTTTGACATTTAGTATAAATTAAACATGATAATTCTAAACAAGCGAGAATCCATCAACATTAATTTGTGCACATATTTTTAAACTAAAAGTTATAGTGGATCCTGTTCAGTAAATCCTTGACAAATATACCAGAGCATAGGGGAATGCAGACAAGTGCTGCGTTATTATATTATAAACGTCATTAACGATTTTGATTTTGCGTGTTTGTATACTCTGTATCATTTCTGTGATCAAATATCGCTGAAGTCTGATTACAAATTGTTTTGAGATTAAATGTTTCAGTGAGTGCAAACGACAATGGTGGGCCCTTGATGTTTCCATCTAAACTGGTTAACAAACAAGCTTTCGTCTCTTCTGTAGCCTATAAATCAGTGAAGTACCCTGTTAAATGTTATATAACACAAAGGAACCAGCATTTCATCGACCATCATGTTTGCAGGGAACGTAGCGTCATATTACATAGCTCCCCAGCGTGGCCTCAGGGATTGATGCATCGTCTGCAATCATATTTGACATCATGATTAAGAATATTTGTCCAAATAATGGAGGCCATTATGACTTTAACAAGCTCTGCAATGTGTTCCATGAATGCAAGAGGATAGCGCTACATTGATCTGCTAGTAGTTACGGCGATTGGATTAGGCTGTGTGGAAATCAATACAACTTCTGGCCAGTATAAGAGACAAGCCTCTTTAGAGAAGCAGAGACAGTAACAAAATAAGGTCCTGCTGCCATCATCACCCAGAGCAGATGCCTTGGTGAAATAATCACTAATACAATCAAGGTCTCTGTGAGATGAGAAATCCTACTAGGGCTGTGTAATCCAGTTTGGTGGGGATTTGGAGCCCATGCACTTCTCATTATCTGACGGCACACAGTAATGTCTGGATTAGATCCCCTCTGCCACATCAATGAATATTTGGCAAACTCATAACAAGAGTAATATATGACCTCTAGCATCCCTCGCTGTAATACTGTGGCAGTCAGCCATGTAGCTTTTAGGCTTCATTGTTTGGATTACATATGTTACATTACATTACACTCGCTCGTTCGTTCATTCATTCCTTTCTGCTCCGACATTTGTTTGCATTGTTCCACTGTCCTGAAAAAAAAGCCAATTTTGTAACACTGTGACTATCATATAACCTTTAAGATTAAATTATTCATTGAAATTGCATTAAAAAAAAACATTTCATTTTAATTTAGTTGTTTAGTTTTGCTACATCATTTGTTGACGCGACACAATATATGAGAGTTTGTCCTAACCAGCCACGGCAGCAAAACACATGTCAATTCACTACGATTCTATTTTAGAAACGCTTTCTATTTCTGCGACCGGAACAACAACATGCAAATTATGGCAATGATAATCTCAGGTACTGATTATGTGCTGTATTTAATGTAAAAATAAATAAATAAATAAATAAAATAATGTGAGTTTTTAAATATCATATTTGCGTGACCTTTATTGAAAATTTGAATTTATAATTCACCTCAGATCCTAAATAAATTAAGGAAATGACAAATGTTCATAATGTGAACAAACAAGTGCAATCTGACAAAGATTGTTTTATTTTATTTTAGCTCCAAATGTGTATTGTTCCTTTGTGCAGAAATACTTAAATATGACAATTTAAAAAAAAAAAAAAAAAAAAAAAAAAAAAAAAACTATATGGGAACTATTACCATTTCTACAATCTTATGTAGCGTGAACAACAATTTATATATATATATATATATAACATATATAACATAATTCATATTAATGTATTAATAGGTATAAAATGTAATAATATTCTTCTTTATAAATGAACATTATCCTAGAATAATAAATGCTGCAAAAAATTTTGCCCATTGTTAGTCCATGCCTTTCTAACGCATTGACTAATGTTAGCGAATTAAACCTTGTATACAAGGAGTGTTCAATAAAGTAAAATCACGGCTGTATTGACTCTATTCCAAGCATTTTAGTGGGCTTCTTACCCACAGGTGACATCTCAGGCACACTAGCCATGTAGGGGCCTTCCAGGAACTTTGGCTCATTGTCGTTGATGTCCTGCACCTTGATGACAAACTCCGACTCTGGTTCCAGTGGACGGTTGGTGTCGATGTCCACCGCTTGCGCTCGTAGCGTGTAGTAAGGCTTCTCCTCCCGATCCAGACTGCGTAAAGCGTGAATGTCCCCGGTGGTCTGGTCGATGGTAAAGATGGTTCCAGCCCCATCGCCTGAGAGAGTGTATTTCACTCCGCTATCCCCTTTATCCAGGTCAGTGTGTAACTAAGGGAGACGGAAAGAGAGGCAAAAATGTGGTAAAGATATACAATATACATAATATGGCTCTCTGGAATACACAGAGTGTTTTAATGACCTTAGCCGTGTATTTGACTACCGGTATATTAATTAGGTTGCATAATATGGTTAATTAAAAAGTTAAGGGAAGGCGCATTGCCGCATTTCCAATATAGAACAGTTTATGTTATTCCAACCGGATCTCACGGCAATTCGTACGATTTTTACGAGGTGGCTAATTCGTACGAATTCATACGACCTCAATCGTACAAATTCGTATAAATTCGTGCAGATGACCTACTCCTGACCCCGCACCTACCTACCCATCACTTGGGTTTAGACAAATCGTACAAGTGAGGTCGTATGAATTTGTACGAATTAGCCACGTTTTAGTCACTCGTACGAATTCATTTGAATTGGTCGTAGGTTAATCTGTTAGTGGAAGAACACTTGACCGAAGCATGCTAAATTTACTTCTGCAACTGTAGATTAAGTGAAATAAAGAGAGATTACACATACAAAGATAGCCTGCGTGTTATATACAGTATAAACTATGCATACGGGTCTGGAAGTTTATAATGTAATTATTCCTGACAGAAAACTTTGCTGTTTCGTCATTGACTTCACGCTGAAAAGACTTCCTTTGATTTGAACTCTGAGGATGTGATTTGCTCGGTTAGCCTGCAGGTAGATGAACCTGACCTAATTCTATCTGCACAGTAGTCTCTCAGTCAGTTTTTCACTTTTTTTTCTTTTCTTTTTTTTATCATATGTTTTGCTGATTTCCTACTCTCGAGCTTTATGTTAGAACAGACTCATATTGTCTGGGTTGCTGTGCCAGTCTTGGTGAACATGTGTCTCTAAAGTTGAATGATGGAGGAAAAATTCTGTTTTTATGATAATATTTCTTTCAGATCCAATCTATGACTGTCCACAATGTTTTGGCTGAATTAAAATTGTATGAATGGGCTCCTTTTTAAAATTTTACATATTTTTATTTTGAATTTGAATGTCCCTTAATTTTTTTTTTTTTTTAGAATTACAAATACAATTTATAATTGTATTTGTATAATTTAAAATATATACATTTCTTTCTTTATTTTGACACATAATATATATTTGTAGGCTACTGTTGTTATATGAATTGAATTCTGTTTTTAATTAATATTTGTAATCTCATAAATTCCAATTTGAATTAAGGTATTTTCACCTCAGCTCTGAACAGTGCTCAACCCTAAACTGCATTTGAATGCAGTCAAAGCACAATTGTTCAACAATTATATCATATCAATGCTGTACAGTGTCATGAATCATATGCAAGTCTCCCATCTGAGGGAGCATCAATCAAAGATTGTGCAGAATTTGTTGAAACTTTAAAAATCTTTTGTATTTCCCAATCTGCATAATATCGTAAATCAGAAAGAGAGCTTAATTATCAGAACGCTTCATTGTCGCATGTCAGAATGTTCAGATGTGAATGAAAAGAAAGAGAATAGAGGAAGAAAAAAAGAAAAGAGAGATTTTCAAAAGAGCAAAAAATCAACAATCACTCCAGTAATAACTTGAAGTGGGAAAGTTAGGTGATTCTAATTAAAAATAGAATTAGCATAACAATAGTCATCAATTACACAAAAGGATTCATGTGCAGACGGGTCCTCCAGACGTCTTGGAAGAAACCTTGTGTATATTAATGCAGAATTATTGAATATACACCCCCCCCCCCTCCTCTCTCTCCCTCTCTCTCTCTCTCTCTCTCAGACTAACTAGTCTTTCCAGATACTCAATAGGCTCTAAGGAGAAACACTTGCTCTTATTTGAAGTCGTTCAGCAGAAACTGACATGCACAAAAAAAAAAAAAAGGAAATATGTATTTACATGCAATTTCTAGTCAAATCAGAAAACGCAGCAGGGGAGAAATAGAAAGCAGAGGTTCAGCACAAGATGTCTGTTACCTGTTAGATGTGTTCTCATACACCCCCACACACACCTTTTGAATTTGCTTGATAAAAAATATTATCCAAAACCAAACGTTCACTTTCTTTTTCCTTTTTTGACCATGCTAAATAGTAAATATTCACTTTATAGTAATATTAATATACCTCATTTCTTAAATAAACAGCTCATTGCATAATGAGCAGTTATGTTGTTTAAAAAAAAAATAATAAACATATATATACATATATATATATATATATATATATATATATATATATATATATATATATATATACTGTATATATATATATATATATATATATATATATATATATATGAAGAGTTCAGATGCAAAAGACTCTAAATATCATTTGAAATTTTCTTCTTTAATGATGATTTTTATCAAAGTTGTATATTTAAGTTCAGTGATTTCACTTAAATGGCAATGATAATTACCTATTAATTGTTATTTAAGTGAAATTACTGAACTTAAATATACAAGTTTGATAAAAATCATCATTAAAGAAGAAAATTTCAAATGGCATTTAGAGGCTTTTGCATCTGAACTCTTCATATATATACATATCCATTTGATTGTGATTTATCCTTAAAATATAAGGCTGACATATAAGATTTGTGATTTATTTATTTATTTATTTCTATTTCATCAAATGGCAAGTTGAACTGCAAATTTGTGGCTTGCACTCACACATCTTTGGACATTTCATACAGAAAAGCTTAGACCTCCATTATGCTGTTTTCTGAATACAGTAAAGATGAGCAATGGATGTCTTGCTACTGTCACAGTTAACAGGTGCTGAGAGAGCAACAGTCCAATACTTGCCTTCTCTCACACACAGGACAATTAGAGGACTGTTCTACCGCCTGCAGATTCAATAGGGTTCTAATATACTAGAGGAATAAATAAAGGGTCTATTGCCATTCAGATCCCCTAAGCGAATGAATCACGCTGTCAAAATTCCTTCTTCAGCAGCCTTTTTAGTTGTTACAAAACTAGTAATTATTAAAGCTGTAATTCTGCAGAGAGGATAAGCTGTGTTTGCACTATATTTATAGTGTTTTCAAAGCCCTGACCAGATCTCATTGATCTGTTAGTGTGTTGTTAGTAATAATATGTGTGGTTGATAAGCTCAGCTCCCCACATTAGGTGTGTTTCTGTGTTTAAGTGTGGGCATGAACATACGGTTCACTACATGGTGTCTGACCAGTAATTAAATGCATGTTTGGTTTGCAAAGGAAGTGTCAGCTCGATGACTGGATATTTCTAACACACCGGGATACTGAAACCCCTTGAGGACCAGCGTTCCTGCACACTCGCAGCATGCTAATACAAGTCAGACCGGGGCCTAAACACTCAGCCAATTCACTTAAATAAATACATTCCCCAGCGTGTTACGACTACAAGGAGTCTGAGGAGATGAGCACTGGAACCCTTTGCATCAAATGTGTGTGTGTGTGTTTATGCATGTGAAAAAGCAGACATCTGTGCAAGAGGATAAATAAATGATTGTGTGTGTGGTTATACCAGTCAATTATGTGTGATCAAAATCTTACATCATATGTTTTTTATTTATTTTTTTATTTATTTTTTTTAATCATAGTATGTGATATGTGGGCATGTGTGCTGTAAAAAAAAAAAAAAAAAAAAAAAAAAAAACAGTAACATTGTAATATTAAAATTTGAAATAATTAAAAAAAAAAAAAAATATATATATATATATATATATATATATATATAAATTTTAAATTCCTGGCATTTATTCCTGGGATAGCAATGCTGAATTTCCAGCAGCCATAGTGGTGCTGAATAATTAACAATGTTTTAAAAATATATAATTATGAATGTTAAATGGCAAATGTTCCTTGAACAGCAAATCAGCATTTTAGATTGATTCCTAAAGGATCATGTGACAGTGAAGACTGGAACACTGATGTTGAAAATTTGATCACAGGAATAAATTCCTTAAAGTATATCAAAATGGAATACATTTACTATTTTTTCCTGTATTTTTTGGATCAAATTATGTAGCTTTGGTGAGCGCAAGAGATTTCAGTCATGATTTAATCTAGGGTCCAAGTCTCACTATTAACTATGACTTTTGCCTCAATAAACTCGTAATTGCATGCTTTATAATAGTTATTACGGGATTGTTAAGTTTAGGTATTGGATTAGGGGACGGAGAATATGTCAACTAGCGCTGGATAGCCTACCTGAGGTAATTTTGTGACACTATGCTAACATAATATCTCATTGTGAATACTTCTCACCGTTTATCAATTGCTTTCCATATATCCATCTTTTTTAACATATCCTTGAAAAGGGGGTTTGACTTGTCAAACAGTGGAGGATTTTTGTTTTTGTACCTTGACGATTAACTTCTCCGCAATGTCATCTGCCATTTTAAATGCGCGAGACCTTTAAATTAGAATGGATTCTGATTGGTTGTCAGTGCTTTATCGTTGGACAGTTGGAAAAAAATCGTTCTGAAAGTGATCCCAACGATATCGTTCCTCATATCTTTATCGTTATAGCTGTGGTGTGAACTAGTGACGTTACGTTCGTGAACGAATCGTTCTTTTTGAACGAATCTTTTAGGTGAACGAATCATTCTCGTTCACGTTATCCATTGACTCATATTTCTCGTTCACTGAAATTCCCCCTTCTACCACTGCGCGCCGCTATTGCGCGCATGCGCAGCTCAATGAACCGTGTAGCTCTGAGGCCCGTTTCATCTGTCAAAGACAAAGAGTGACTAAACCTCGAGCCAATAGCCTTCGAGTATGATACGAGGACGGAGCATGTGATTTGTTGAATCTAGTGAACGAATACGCCCTTTATTGAGTTGCTTCGAGTTTGAACGAGTCCAATGAACTGTTACATACATCTCGTTCGTGAATGAAAGAACCAGTTGTTTGAACGTCAAGATAATAATGACGACGAAGTTAACAGTGCAAGCTGATGGTTTAATTTAATAAAAGAAAAATTAACTAAAATCTACAAACTACATCAGGTAATCTGCTAACTTCAAAAT